TTTCGTAAAGCATCTCGTTCGACAAAGATAAGGAGTTTTTATGATATTTACTGAGTTCTTTTTATGTTTGTTGTCATTCTCAAGAGAATATTTCGTTTTTCTTCGTATCTTTTAGTTTAACATTTTTGTTTTTGTATGAGTTTTCTTGGGACTATTATCCCCATTTTTCTCTCTATGCTTGGGTACGTTGTATTTTGATCCATTCCATTGTTTTATTAATGAAATCCTATTACCATTGTTAAAAAAATTATTTAAAATAATCATGATTAAAATTTTAAAAAAATTAATTATAAAAAACTAATAAAAGATAGTTTTATTAGAATACATGAAATATTAAAATTGCATAACTCTTTTAAACTTCTTTTAAATAAGTCTCAAAAATAAAATGCGGCTTTTATTAATATGTTTTACAAAACTTATGGGCTAATAACACGGTTGTAGGAAATTTGATCTAAATCTAATTATTTGAATTTAGCTAAACGATTTAAAATGTGATATAGATTCAATTGAGCAAAATATGAAATGAATATAATCGAATTAAAATCGTTATGAATTTTAGCTTAATTGATATAGACTCGAATCAAAAGTAATTCAAATTTAATTTATTCAAATCTGATCATCGAATATCGGCATGATTTTAATTTGATAATTGAATCAAAGTGAATGAATAATTTATTTTTATTTATTTTTTTAACAATGTGATAATAATAAAATGATTAGTTTAAAATCTAACTTTGTATATTTTCTTTTTTATTATTTATTATTTTAATTATTTATTTTATTTGAATTTGATTTATTTAATTTTATTAACTAAATATTGAAGGTTAAAATTTAAATACCCAATTAAATATCCAACAATTAAAATAAATTTAAATTAATTTTAATCCTTGATTAATGAAATAATTAATTATGATAATATTAATTTTGCTCCCTTAAATAATTTTTTATTATTCAATTCTAATTTCGTAAAATAACAACTTTATAGCCTTAAGATTTAGGTAAAACTTATTTAATTTTTATTTTAAGATTCCAATTTCATTAATTTAATAATAAGTTATTACTTTAATATCTATGTTGGACTCCATTAAATAATTATTCATAATTACTAAATTAATTTTTAAACCATTTAAATCCAATTATAATTTATTAATTTAATATTTTACTTTGAAACAAATTAAATAATTTTTTAAAGCTATTAAATTAATTTTCAAATCATTTTAATTTTTCTATCCATTAGAAAAAGCAATTACTTAAATTGAATATACAAATAGCTTTAATATATATATATACACACAAACACACAAATAGTTAATTTCTGCAATATAAATCTTTTTATATTTTAAAATTAAAATATTATCAACGACATAATATCATTTATAGACTATTTAAATTAATATTCATTTAAATATAATTATTATATATTTTTTAAATTAACTAAAAATATTTTATTTATAATTAAACAGTAAAGATCTAATTAAAATTTTAAATTGAGAATAACATTTATAATTGATTTTTTCTCCACCAAATAGGTTGTACCGTAAACTTTTCGGGCTATATAAATATATAAAAAATTACAAATTCTAACACGTTTTATTGGGTCAAGCTCAATCAAATTATCATCCCTGAATGGTAATTGAATTTTGAATGAAATTAGGCTTCGATTAAATTCATACTCAACTTTATGTAGAAAGTGTTAACTAGTTTAGCTTATATGTACAGTTTGTTAGCTTTTAGTTATTGAGTTAGTTATGGTAGTTGCTTTGTGTATAAATAGGACTTATTTGTTGTAAATTGTAAGTTGAGGAATAAAAGATAATTTTACCCAAATATCAGGTCTTATTCTTAACTTGGTATCAGTTTAGCCCAGCTGGTTCGTTGGGCCGTTTTCATATCTGCCCATTTTCCTTCAACCTATATTCTTTCATTCCCGGTTAATCCATATCTTTTTTCGCCAGATGGTTTCTTGCGACGGAATAAATTCCTCTGACACCACTATGCTCGATTTCAATCACCCCTTGTTCCTGCATCCGTCTGATACGTCGTGTGGTGTTCTTGTTTCTCACCGCTTTGTCGGTATTGACAACTATAATATCTAGAGTCGTTCTATGAAGATTGCGCTGTTGGCAAAGAATAAGCTAGGTTTTGTTGATGGTTCCTGTTGCAAAGAGGATTATGATGAGTTCTTGTATTCTCAATGGGAACGTTGTAATGCGTTTATCCTATCCTAGATTCTCAACAAGATGAGCAGTGATATTTTTGCTGGAATTGTCTTTGCTTCAAGTGCTGCTCAAGTATGGACTTATTTGAAGGAGCGATTTGATATGGTTGATGGATCTCGAATTTTTTCTTGCATCGAGAAATTGCAACTTTATCTCAAGGTGATTCAACTGTTTCAACTTATTTCACTCGGTTAAAGCTGTTGTGGGATGAGTATCATGCTTTAGTTCCTTTTTCAACTTGCAATTGTGATGCTTCTCAACAAAACTCTAAGCATCTTGCCCATCAAAAATTGTTACAGTTTCTTATGGGTCTTAACGATATGTATTCAACAATTCACAGTCAAGTTTTGTTTATGCAACCTTTGCCAATTGTTAATCAAGCCTATTCTATGATTGTGCAAGAAGAATCACAACGAGTTCAGCTATCTGGTGTTTCAGGAGTGACTGCAATGTATTCTAGTGCTTCTAGAAATTATGATCGAATGTGTCTTAATGGAGTTTGTGATTTCTACAAGATAAAGGGCATAAGTGTGAAAGTTGTTATCGTTTAAATGGTTTTCCTCCTAATTTTAAATTCACTAAGAAGAAGGGTTCTCAGGCTTCTCTTGCTACCAACAACTTATTGAATGATTCTGATCATGAATCACGTTCTGGTGATTCTAGTAATATTCATGTTGCTCCGGTTTTCACCACAGCTCAGTATAATCATATTCTTGAGCTTCTGAATAAACCTCCCTCGGTTGATACAGCAGTCAACTTAGCAGGTATTGTTTCTAATTGTTCACCTAATCACTTTGTATATGTGCATTGGATACTTGATACAGGTGCTATTGATAATATATGGTGTCTGATATCCATTGTTTGAAATCTCTCACTTCATGTTATTCTAGTTCTCCTTGTGTTCATTTACCTAATGGTAAAATTGTGCCTATTACACACACTGGTAGTTTTTGTTTTAAGTCAGCTGATGTTATTCCCAATGTGTTGTTTGTACCTAACTTTCACCATGATTTGTTATCAGTATCAAAACTTACCAAAGACCTAAATTGTAGCATTGTTTTCTATCCTCATTTTTGCATTTTGCAGGATCTCTTCACTGGGAAGATAAGGGGGATTGGTAGGGAGTCTCGTGGTCTCTATGTTTTTTATTCAAAGGATCTTGTTTTTGGTTTGTTTTCTAAGCATTGTAATTATGTTTTGTCATCCTTAGTATGTAAGTCTGATTCTGGTTGTATGTCTGCTTCTACTGTTAATAATACAATGCTTTGGCATGCACGTTTAAGGCATGTCACTATTGTTAAAATGCATAAGACTCCTTTTTATGCTCTATTCCCTTGAATGAAAACTCTGTTAAACAATGTTTTGTTTTTCCTCTTGCAAAATAGTCAAGGTTACATTTTTCTATTAGTTCTTTTCAATCTCTTAAACCTTTTGATTTAATTCATATTGACTTGTGGGGTCCCTATAGAATCTCAACACATAGTGGCCATCGATCTTTTTTTACTATTGTAGATGATCATACTAGAATGTCTTGGGTTTATTTTGTTGAGACTTAAGAGTGATGCAATCTTTTTTCTCAAACAAATTTTTACTCTTGTGCAAAATCATCATTCTACTTCAGTTAAGTATATTCGTAGTGATAATGGTGTTGAGTTTTTTAGTGATCATTGTTCTGAAACTTTTCTCATCTCTTGGAATCATTCACCAAAGCTCATGTGTTCATACACCCCAGTAAAATGGGGTTGTTGAGCGTAAGCAAAAACATCTTTTAGAGGTAGCCTGTGCTCTTCGTTTTCACTCTCATGTGCCTGTAAAATTTTGGGGTGAGTGTGTTTTAACAGCCTGTTATATCATTATCAGGCTTCCTACTGCTGTCTTAAATTGGAAAAGACCTTTTGAAGTCTTTTATAAAAAATCACCTGATTTTTCTCATCTAAGAATGTTTGGTTGTCTTTGCTATGCAACTAAAGTTAACTATAAGGAAAAAATTTCACCAAAGACCTTACCTTCTGTCTTTATGGGTTATTCATCAACTCAAAAGGGCTATCTATTTTTTGATCTTCATACAAAGTGTTTTTTGTCAATCATGATGTGGTCTTTCATGAGACTGTGTTTCCTTTTGCATTTCCAATCAACAAGTCTTCTCATTTTTCCCCTGCTCATCCTATTGTTGATGATTCTGACTTTCTTACTCTTGATATTTCTACATCATCTCCTCTAGTACATTCTATTTTATCTCAAGTCTCAACTAGTCCTCTTAGTTCACCTATTGAACCTCAAATTAGTGTCCACCTCAAAAAAAATCTATTATGGTTGTCAAACCTCTTAATTGGTTACATGATTGTGTTCAATCCTACCAATATTCATCTCTTCAAATTAAGTATCCTATTTCCAATTTCATTTCTTATTTTCATTTACCTTCCAAAACTCAGAGTTTCTTATCATCTACTTCTCATTTAATTGAACCTAAAACCTATGCTGAAGCCATTACCAACCCTTTGTGGATCCAAGCCATGAAGGAAGACATTGATGCTTTGGAGTCAAATAACACTTGGTATGTAGTTACTCTACCTTCAGGGAAAGTTCCAATATGATGTAAATGGGTGTACATAATTAAGTACAAGGCCAATGCAGATGTTGAGCGTTTCAAAGCTCACCTTGTTGCTAAAGGGTTCAATCAAAGAGAAGGAGTTGACTTTGTGGATACCTTCTCTCCGGTTGCTAAGTTAGTTATTGTTCGAACTATTCTTACCTCTATTTTTTTCCTGGCCTCTTTATCAAATGGATGTGTACAATGCATTTTTGCAAGGTGACTTAGTTGAAGAAGTCAATATTGAACTTCCTGATGGTTTTTACAGCCAGGGGTAATCTAAGGTTTGTAGGCTGCATAAATCACTTTATGGATTGAAACATGCTTCTAAGCAATGGAACTTGAAGCTAATAGAAGAATTACTTACAGCTAGTTACACGCAGAGAAAGTATGATTATTTAATTTTTATAAAACAACAAGGGAATGATATAGTTGTCTTGCTGGTTTATGTTGATGGCCTTTTAATTACTGGCAGCAATGAAGTAATGATAATGGAACTTAAGTATATTTTGAATGGGAGCTTCAAAATGAAGGATCTTGGAGAGTTGAAATACTTTCTAGGATTGGAGGTTCTAAGGTCAAAAGAAGGGATTGTGTTGAATCAACGAAAGTATGCTTTAGAACTGATTGAAGAAAATGGAACAGGGGAAGCTAAAACAGCTATGACTCCTTTAGAGCAAAACAAGAAGCTCACTACAGCTGAATATGATGAAACACTTTGTGGATATGAGCAATTGTTACAAAATAAGTCTGTTTTTCAGAGGCTTATAGGTAGACTGATATATCTTACTCACACAAGGCCAAATATTGCTTATGCAATACATTTTCTAAGTCAGTTTATGCATAAACGAAAGCAATCCCATCTTGAGATTGCATTAAGAGTGGTAAAATACATTAAGAAAAATCTAGTTCAGGGGATTTTATTAAGTGCAACAAGTGAATGCAAGTTGTTTACTTATTTTGATTCTGACTGGGATGTTTGTCCAATGACTAGAAGATCTGTAACAGGTTTTTGCAGTAAACTTGGAATGTCTCTGATCTCTTGGAAGTCTAAAAAACAAAACACTGTTGCACGCTCCTCTGCTGAAGCAGAATATAGAAGCATGACAGGAACAACTACTGAACTAGTACTGTTGAAAGGTTTTCTGACTTAGTTGGGTTTGAAGAGTATGGAACCAACTAAGCTGATGTGTGACGGTAAAGCAGCCTTGCAGATAGCAGCTAATCCGGTTTTCCATGAGAGAACCAATATTGAAATAGATTGTCATTTTGTTAGAGAAAAAAATTCAAAAAGGTTTGATACAAACTGAACACATCAAAACAGAGGAACAACAACCAGACTTGATGATCAAAGCCTTGGGTGTACATCAACATGAGTATATGGTTTCCAAGTTGGGGTTTAAAGACATTTTTTTAACCACCAACTTAAGGGGGAGTGTAGAAAATGTTAACTAGTTTAGTTTAGTTGTACAATTTGTTAGTTTGTTAGCTTTTAGTTATTGAGTTAGTTATGGCAGTTACTTTGTGTATAAATATGACTTATTTGTTGTAAATTGTAAGTTGAGGAATAAAAGATAATTTTACCCAAATATCGTGTCTTATTTTTAACACTTTAACACATCTTATAGGCACAACATGTTTTATTATAAGAATTATCAATAATGTTATATATACTTGATTAGAATCATATTCAACTCAAACAAACTTAACTTATAGATCTGAAAGTGCACACAAACCGAAAAACGACTGGTATGATATTGGTCCGACTCTAAAAGTGACTGATTTGATATTGATCTGATCCAAAAATCGACCGATTTGATATTGACTCAAATAAAAAATTGATCGATCTAATACTAATCCAAAAATCAACATATTCGATATCGATTAACCCTGATACTCAATTCGACCTAACTTACCGTAGTCTCGAACTAAATTCGAACTTAAAATAACTCAATTTGACTCAAACTTAAATCGAACATAATCTAGACCTAAAATAAATTGACTTGAAATGACCCGAACTAAACCCGATTAAAATGATCTGATTGTCACCTCTAACTCGTGGCTACCTTCAATTAAATATAATAAAAATAAAAACCTTTGTTTGGGAAATGACAAACAAAGGAGTTGACTTAAGTAAATTGTGGGGAAAAGAAGTGGTAATACATCTCATGATGATGCTGTGTTGGTATTGGGTGGGAATGGTGTGTGCGCCATGACAACAGCTACCAACCACGCCTATAAAGCCACACCTTCTTCCATTACTAACTCAAGTATTTCACTTGATCATCACTCATGTCACCTCTTCGCTTCAACGCTTTTCTTCTGCTCTCTTTGCTCTTATTCCTCCCTTTCTCTCATGGTAATCAACACTCCACTCACTGCAAATGCATTTTTCCTCATATTCTACGACTAATTACCCTTACATTGCACCAGTTATTTCAATCCTTGGGGTACATTAATCTCTTTACTGAACCACTGATCACAGTGACTGTTGTTGGCAGGCCTAGGGTTTCAAGGTGGAATGCAGGCTAAATATTACTCACTTCATCAACAGGTATATTCTTTTTCTTTCTCGAGCTTTGGGATTAACATATACATGCAAAGATGCAGATAATGTACGTACGTTATTTAATTATTCGGAAATGTTGTTGGTTTTAATCATTATAATTTAATTATTAGATGAAAGGTGGGAATGAGAAGATCCAAATGAGTTCATCATCAAGAAAGCTGTTGACGGGTGCAATGTTGGATTATGATGATACAGGCGCTAATACTAAGCACGAACCAAGGAGAAAACCTGGGAAACCCTGAATATATATATATATATATTATATATATATATATATATATATATTATATATCAAGTGAACTCTTTTCAGAGGTTTTGATGATCATGAGTTCTTATTTAGAGCAGAAAAAAAGAATATAATAAAATAATCACAATAATATATTTGAAGTACAATTAAAAACCGTACTCAGTGGGTGCATTATTACTATTATGTTCTTAAACTATCGTGTTGTTGAGGTGTATCCCTGGCTATTATTGCCTTTGCCTGCCATAATTATATAATGAGATTAAAGAATCAAGTGTTGTTCTACTTTTATATTATTATGTATATTATTTTAAAAAAAATCACTAATTTTATTTAAAATAATAAATATCCTAAATTACAATAAAGATTTACAGTTATAATCTAAATTAAGCACATAATTAGGACAATTTCATATAATCTTTGAAACAAAACTAGCAACTTAAGATCACATAAAGACTATACAAGGAAAGATTAAAATCTAACCAAGAAAACTCGAACAAATATAGATACAAGCAGATCTGATCGTATTTACAAATGAACTACAAAAGGGGATCAACCTACTAAAAGACCATAGACAAATTATAAATAAGACTCGAGCGACGTGAAATGTGCAAACCACCCAAACCTACCGTCACTCCTTTAATCAACAATATAACAGATAAACCTCATCTTGATCTATCGTGGTGATGTCTAATTAACCCTTAGAAAATGATAAATGAAAACGACGATCAACATGCGAAAAATTAGAAGAAAACGTGTCATACAAGTAGACTTATTAAAAATAAAAAAAATTAAAGAAAATAAAAGGACAATAAAAAATACAGGTTGTCGGCAACTAACATTAAAATTGATGTTACGCCGATCTACAAAGACAAAAAAAATGAGATAAACAACTTATCGATGAGAGAAAATTAGAAGAGAAAACTAAGATAGAAAAAAAACCTAAGAATGAAATTTAGTTAAAATATTAATTTTAAGTTTACACTATCCGACAGTTTAAAAAAGTTGTACGAACCACGTCACTTTCGATAAAAAATCGATGTTATGAAGTTCTAAGTTCGAATATCATGAATTGCAGAGGTCTAAAGGTTTACTTGAAATGTTCACTTGAAAAGGCAAATGATTGCTTTTAAGGATATAAAAGATATAAAAAATTATATAAGAAAATGGAGTAAGGATTAAAAAGTAA